GACTGTAAATAAATATCAAAACTCATTCATAGTAACAGGTCGCACAACACTTTCAATACCTTTCAACAGAGCAATTAAGTAAACAAAATATTCACAGTTTAGTCTCTACCTTATTTCATCATCTTACGTCTTGTTTGCTTGTTACTTTTCTGTAGTCACAATTTTCCGAAATGGACTTTCTTTTCGTATTTTGGTTGATATTTCCAATATATCCGAGTAAATGTAATTAATTTTTCGATGTTTATCAGTTTGTCTATTCTTTACTAGTAATAAAATGAAATAAAATTTTGCACTGCTTATCGAAATTGTCAAGAATTTCGTAAGATTAATGTGGGTACTGGTTATTTTATGACGTAAGTTCGGATTGTTTCAATAAATTCGTCGAAGGTTTTTTTTGCTTGAACCGCGAAGGAACTCAAAAATCGAATTCGTGAGAAGGTATTATTGTAGTTTGCCTTTGGGACAATGGGCAACGACTTAAACTGGTAATTGACTACCATAAAAATGCTCGTAAAATTTAACGAGCTTATAATAACGTGAAATCCCCCAGAGTCGAGTGGATTATGGGATGGATTGATGGACGTCTTCCGCAATTTTACGTTTTTTATAAAACATTTCTTATTAGTAATTTCGTCCATTAGTTAATATTTATAGATGAAATCAAATTTTAAGCTATGAAAAATTTATTAGTTTTTTACCGCGGGCAAACCATTTCGACGGATATAAGGAAGAAAAATAGCTTTATTATGAGCGAGATAGACCTAAGTAGATAAGTTATGTCGTTTTGACTATGACGCTTACACTTAGATACAGCTTTAAGGAGATTATAGAATAGATAAAAACGCTTCTTACTTAGATAAATTTGAATTAAATGACGACGTTATAAAATCTCAGCGGCATTTATTGTAAACATGCTTTATAAACCCCTATTTTTCAAGTCCATAGGACAGAGCACCTTCATAAGCGTTCAAAAAATTTGAATGTTATTATTAACCCATCATTGACGGAAATTAGGACTTGTTTGAACAGATGCATTTAAAAAAATTACATCAACCATCTTCATGGAATTCAAATTGCACAAATCGTTGTTGGAGAATGATTTGATAATACTACCATTCAATTTATGATGGGAACTTTTATTTATGAAAAATAATCATCTGAAAATGGCTGGGATCTATGCTCGAAACGTTTGGTGGTTTCGTTTGGCAAAAATTATAGTTGGAAACAACTTTGCCAGTCACTCGTTTATTAAACACTCAACGCGCTCGTGCCAAATCACACTCATAACTAAAGCGTTAAATGGTTAATTGATAATGCGACCGGTTTACTGCGTTAAAGTGATTTGTAAAATTGTTATGAAAAACTATTAATGCAGATTATTTAAAGAAATTAGGCTTTCAGTGCAACATATAGAGTGTACTCACAGATTATCCCAGAAAAACTAATTATTAATAAAAATGATAATAATAACCGAAGAAAAAAACATGAGAGTTTATGGTTAAACTTCTGAATACATGTGCATCAGATTATTGGACAATGCAAGTTCTGTTCTACTAACAAAGAAAATACTTAACATAATCCACAGAACTTAGTTAAATAAAATGAACCAAAAATAAATAATATATGTCAGTTTGCAGTTTTTTTTATTTCATTTTTAAACTTTGGCAAGGTTACACTAAACAAATCAATGCCTCCTGGCAGTTGATTAACCTCTCTACAAGGGACAAGAATACCCATAGTTTGTACTTAATAGCTGTGTTTGTGCTGTGCTTCTTGAAGGTACATTAAAGCATATCGAAGCTTAGGACAATAAATATTATTATTCACTTGCTTGAGCGGAAGGCAGAGATCAAAACTGTTAGCTTCTTCAATTTCAGTTAAGCTTCGAAGATGCCAACAGGATGAATGGCCAAACGTTAGTAAAATCGACTCAACCACAAGTTTCGTAAATAATATCAAAATTTAATTGTTCACAATCAATCAATCGCTGACTTTCTATCAAAGATTTCTATAGGTTATTTTTAAAAGTCAAAAATAAGTCAGCTGTTTTTATCAATTTGTGATTTTTTTTATGTAGTTTATGCATTGGTGTTTGTGTGGTATTTATGTATTGTTAATTCATTTCTTTAAACTCGTGGGATGCCCGACTTAGTCTTTTTATACCGAATTCTGCATTTTATGAATTTTATGAGAATATCGTGATGTAATGATAATGTAGTGTAAATATATAATAAATACAAATTTACAATAAATTCCGATTGTTCTATTTACATTATTGAATATTTTGAAAGAATTAAATCCACCCCAAAAGTCTAGATTGACATAACCTAATATTCTACGCGACTAGAATTATGATGATTTATTATAATTATTTACCTGTATTCATTTATTTTTCATTACATTTAGAGTTCCATATGACAAAAAGATGTTTTTTTTTCTGAACCTGCAGCATTCAATGAGCAACGCAATACGCTTCTAATTTACTACATCGATAATATTTAATCAAAAGAAAAACGATTTTCTCAGGCCGACTAGAAAAATTTAACGCTTATTAATAATTATTAAAATATTTTCTTAATCGTGTTCCATTTGCCGAGGTGCCTGTGCGGACGTTTTTCGATATTGAGAAATTAGTTTCTATAAATTATACCTAGACGTTAATTAACATTAATTTCAACGGTTCGCTTTCTTGGCTAATCTCCGCTATACGATCTTTTCCAATTTTTTTTCTCGTTTCTCAATATATTATTAATCGTTGCTGTAACAACATTGCGTTTAATGCCAAAAATTAATTAATCGAATTTACATATTCATATACAAAGTTAACGTTGACCGAATTAAGTGGGAAAAAATAAAAATGAAAAAGGTTCGTAATATGATTAATGCGCCTAAGACACAATAGTCCCTCAAAAAGATATAAAATGGTGAAACAAAACGCATCTAAAATAAAGTAGCAACGATGCTTATTTATATAAATGGGAGAAGGTGGTGTTCTCATTCCTATTCCTAAAGAAATTTTTTATGCATTATTAATTTCTGATTAACGTTTCAAAAAAGTTCAGAAAAACACCACATGCACATAGATAAAAGGTGTTTTTTTTTTCGATGTATAGAACTTTAAGTTGGCATTACTGTTCAAGATGGCGACCGATTTAACAGCTGTCAAGTGATTTATTCTCAGTTTGATTTGGCAATTCATCATGAATAGACTCACGCCTGAATAACGCTTGCAAATAGTGCAATTTTATTTCGAAAATAATGGTTCTGTGCGGAATACGTATCGCGCACTACGTCCATTTTATCGTCGTCCATCAGAGCAGTTAATTCGATTAACCATGGAAAGTTTTCGCACTACGTTTACTCTTATTGATAACTCGCATCCTCAGAGACGCCGTACAGTGCGTACAGAAGAAACTATTGTTGCTATAGAGCGTAGCATTGAGGAAGACCCGAATGAGTCCATCCGCCATCGAGCACAGGAATTGGATCTGTGTCCATCCACTTTATGGAAGATTTTGCGGAAGGATCTTGGTTTACGTGCTTACAAAATCCAACTCGTGCAAGAATTGAAGCCCAACGATCATCAAGTAAGGCGTAGATTCGTCGAATGGGCCCGAAACGAGATTGCCGTTGTTCCCGACTTTCATAAGCAAATTTTGTTTAGCGATGAAGCGCACTTCTGGTTGAATGGATACGTCAACAAACAAAACTGCCGCGAAGCTAATTCTCAATTGTATGTCGAAACACTTACATCCAGAAAAACTGACTGTTTGGTGCGCTTTATGGGCTAGTGGAATCATTGGTCCGTACTTCTTCAAAAACGATGATGGCCAGAACGTTACAGTCAATGGTGATCGGTATAGAGCTATGATTACTAACTCTTTCATTCCTGAATTGAATAACCATGATGTCCAGGAGATGTGGTTTCAACAAGACGGCGCAACATATCACACAGCTCGTGCCACAATCGATTTATTGAAAGACACGTTTGGTGACCGCCTAATTTCACGTTTTGGACCTGTGAATTGGCCTCCAAGATCTTGTGATTTAACACCGCTCGACTACTTTCTGTGCGGCTATGTAAAGTCATTGGTCTATGCGGATAAGCCACAAACGCTTGCCCATTGGGAAGACAACATTCGCCGTGTTATTGCCGATATACGGCCACAAATGTTGGAAAAAGTCATCGAAAATTAGACGTCCAGATCCATCGTTGTTTTATTGCAACTTAAAGTTCTATACATCGAAAAAAAAAACACCCCGTCCTTAGAAATTCAAAATAACTAATTATTTTTTTATATTTTGATAATAATAGTGGTCAGAAAATAGCATCATGTTTTTCATTTTTGAGTATTATTTCTAAAAGAATGCATTAATTCAAAAAAATGTACTTTACCTCTACCATCAATATGAGCAACAAAGCAAAGTTTGAATATTCGGTAATTGTTAAGGGTATATGCCATAGCAAATCTAATGTTATAAAAATTTAAAAAATGATTAAAATTTGAAGAAAAATTTATTTTAAATGTCAACTTTTTCAAATTGGTTTTGCCTTATTGCTCACTAGCAAATTATACCTTATAACTCTCACTAGTAGTAATAACCAACAATTATTCAATTGAAAGCAAATAAGTTATACTGTCATTATAGTGTTGAAAAAATAATTATTTCAGTGAAACATATTCCCTAGATAAAAATAGACAAAAATATTGCGGCCAAAAACCGTTTTGGTCATACTTAATAGAAAGCCAAATTGAAAGGTGGTCCCTTTACTTCCGTCGAAATAGAACATCAAAATATCAGGTTCTAATACTATTTACAAATCTTCTAGATTCCTCCTGCGTCAGTTGTTGATGAACCGAAAGTTTCGCAAATCATCCTGTTGACGTCTTAAAAGGTGCAGGAGCAAAAACATATTTGTAAATAGTATTGCAGTAGCCTGCGAAAGTTTCTTTAAAAAATTATCAAGTTAAAAAGTTTTAACAGAATTTTTGTTTCAGGTGTACCAAATTTCCTACGTGATACTTAAGTCTGGTAACTCGCCTAGACCGGGCACATGGATTTTGGAAAAATCTCTGGACGGCGAACGATTCGAAGCCTGGCAGTACTTTGCCAGGAGCGACAAAGAATGCTCGGACAGATTCGGTGTTCTTGCGACGAAAGGCAAACCGTATTACCTAAGCGACACGGAAGTGATCTGCACATCTTTCTTTTCGAGGCTAACACCATTGGAAAATGGAGAGGTAACTTCTTCATTAATTATTAAACATTATGTTCTACTGAAATGTGGCGCGTGCCTAATATTAGAAGTGGGATTTTTGATGCGTCTGTCCAAACGCTCTGCGGCTCGAAAAAAAGCCGAACCAGTATAATTAAAAACCAGCAAACCAAAACAGACATCCGCCGGGCACTTTAAATATATCACGTTGATCTAATTTCCGCCTACGGGGTTTCAGGTAAATCTAACACTTGGTCAAGCGCGATGAACATATTTCTGGCCAGCCATTAACACGCTGAAAACGTATATATTGACCTCATTATTGATTTATACTAATTGCCATCTGTAGGCACTAGTCTCAACATAGTCCCCCGTGGTGCACGTATTTATAGGCCCGTTTGATCAAATACCAGTTTGTGTTTACGGTTTCATGGTACCCATACACCGTGGACAGCGCTTTTTTTTTATTAAAGGAGATTTAAGGAAAGAGATCGTTTGATCCGTTTTTATCGTCTGCATATAATGTACTGTGTGGCGTGCCTCAGGGCTCTGCCTTGGGGCCGCTATTAATTTTGATTTATGATATTGATGACATCAAACAACATTTCTTCAGAGCGAAGCTATAAACGACATTACCTTGGTTGATAGTCTTACTAAATCTTTTTTTTAATTTGATACATTCTTCTTATTCTGATAAGAACGAGATCTTTAAATTGTAAAAACAGTAGTACATATCTTGTCGTGAAACAAAGGAATCCTGAAAATCATTGGTTAATTTACTTGGACCTTATTACTTTACTGCTTTCACATCGAACAAGACTACCTCTCTTGCTATTCACCTAATAACATTTATAGCACACGTAATGGCACTGAATCGTTTCTTCCCAAGTTACAACCTAAAACTCAAAACTTTCAAAAAGTTGTAAAATTACGTTGCTGTTTGACGTTCCAGTATGTTGATGCCTTCTGTTTGTTGGTTATGCTTTTTAAGCACTATAATTTGATGGTAGTGACGATAAAACTAATGAAATGGGATTTTTTCACTAGCGGCATATAGAAGGTAATTTATGAGGGTTCCTGAAATTAACCTTCAATTACGAGCGGCAATTTGGCCTACCGTATATAACACTCGCTTGAACGGATACCAGTTTGCGTCTATAATATCTTGTACAGTTATGGCCATCAATCAAAATTTGTAGTGCTGCAAGTAAATAATACGATATCTCATCGCTTGGTGGCAAAAACAATGCGTACGTCATCGACTTTTGATTTACGCTATAGCACTGAAAAATCTCCAGCGACCGTTAGTCTGAATCAATTTACGCAGATTGGTTTATTATTTATATTTATGTAGTTCCCACAAAAGGAATCGACTATCACGATGACCGGGCGAGGTTCAATTCACAAGTTACACTGAATCACCATATCACCGATTTCTCCAAGGTGATTGATCACTTGAGACACTGGGTTTTAGATGCTCTCTGCTTTGTTGGATCTTAATGGAAGGATGCAGATTGTCCATATTAACAACTTACTTCCCAAATCCTAGTCCCTTCTAGTGTCCGACACGGAACCCATTTAAATCCTCTGCTTTTCAAACTATTCATTAACTACATTTATCCCGAATTAAATTTGGCAGCAAGGGGTTAAAATGTTCAGGCATCTGGTAGAGCCCAAAATTTAACATAAAACTAACAGACGCATAGAAACAAACAACGCTTGAAGTGGTAATGAAAGTAAAGGTTTAATTAGGTAGAAATTAAAATGAAATCTTGCTTACCCAAAAGACAATTTTTAAACTTATTTTTCGGAGTCAATAGCGCCAGAGAAAAGTCTATCGAGGAGATATATTGATTAATTATATTTACAATATGGATTGAGAAGGGCTTTTTTAAAAGCTTTTTTCGATGCTGTAGCACCGTAAGAAGATCCCGTCTACAGAGATTCAAATGGTGAACGTCCGTCGGAAATCTAATTTTGTTGTACCTCGTGGTCCAAATTCGAGGGGCCTCTATGGCTTTAAACATTTGCAGCATAGGTAGCCCAAAACTAATATGCATGCTATGGGCTCGATTTTCGAGAGAAGTCAAAAACTGGAAACCGCATCGTGATATGTCAATTCGTTTCTGAATGATTCTTAAAAATGTGCATTTCTAAAAACCCTCTATAATTTTTTTATTTGTAAAGATCGAGATTTTTATTAAAAACAGTTTTTGACGATTTTTTAAGGGCAAATCTACCTGTTTCACCGATTTTGTCTTAAAGCCTTTAATGACATATAACACAAAGTTACATTTTTTTAAATGGAATACTAAAATTTAAAAAAATCTAATAAAATTTCCTGTCAAACGATGTTCCATACACCTCGCATTTGGACCACTTAACGTGCTCTCTAGATTTTAACCAAGATTGTAGAATAAGTTCTAAACTTTTGCAACTGCTACAAAAACCTGAGTTCTTTATAGAGAATTTTATGTTGCTTTTAATATTATCAATTTCAATGTCATTTGGCAAATATCATCACACGATTAAGTACAAGCATATGTTGAGTGATAGAATCGGAAAACCTATTCAAATCAGAATTAGTACTGCAATTTGCTTCGTTAAGGCACTTCTCAGAAAAAGAAAAATATAAAGATGATAATCACATAACTGTAATGATGTTGTAAACCTGGTTGTAAAAAACGCAAACAGAAGTAGACCTAAAGTACTACCCTGGGATACTGCCTTGTTAACAGCTAAAGGCGTAGAGTTGCTTCATTAAGTATCACTTTTTGTGTCATTTAAAATTGATGATACGAATTTACAAGACAGTGCACTGAATCCTATGCGATGAAGACTTGAATGATTTATCATGTTAAAGGCTTTGCTTAAACCAAGTAAAACCAAGGTAGTCATTTTGTTATCATCATAAGCCATAGAAATATCATTCATTACATCTGCAAGAGCGCTTTCACCACTATAACCAAATCTAAAACCTGATTGTTTCGGAAGCAAAATACTGTAAATATTGAGAAATGCTCTTATTTGCTTGTCCACTATTTTCTATAGAATCTTAAACAGTACAGGCAAAATACTAATAGAACTCAACTGATCAAATTTTGTAGGTTTTTTATTTTAGCCAGAGATATGACTTGTGACTGTTTCCACAGTACAAGAAAATATGAACACAAAATACATTCATTAATTATGTGCACAATATACCGTACAACTGTGGGGCAACAAAGTTGCACTATTGATATTAATACTTTCGCTTCCCGTTGCCTTAGTCTTAATAGTGTTCACTATGATCAGCACTTCGTCAGTTGAGCTAAAGTTAAACGTTGTTTTTATAAAAGTTAAAATGTTCTGGGTCGAGCAAGTTTCTAGAGGCAGTGTCATTATCTATAGAATTATTTTAGTGCTTCTTTGCCTAGTTTTTGTAATAATTTTATACTATCAGTTACCTACGGCTGTACTTAGAGTAGTTACTTTGTTTTCAAATTCATGAAACTAATCATTTGTTCCGTGGACTATATTGTCAAATACATTCAGTATGTAGTCATGGAAAAGTGAGATTTACTTGTATAAAGAACATAGTGGCAAGGCATATTCTGAAGGTCTTATTCTAATTCGTCTCGATTATTTCTGGTTATTGGCATGTACATGAAATTAATCATTTGTTCAGTGGACTGATTAATTGATGGCTTTAAGTATACTAAAAAATGATCTGCAATATTTAAATCTAAAACACCAGTCTCAGTAACACCTTCTATATAAGTGTTGATCAGATCCAAAACTGATAGTGATGTTCGTGACACTCGCGTTGGTTGTGTTATCAGCTGCCGTATATTAAAAGATGAAAGACTGCCTTTAGTTGTAACGATTTTAATGAATTACCATTAAGCATATTCAAATATATAAGTATTTAAACATAGCTTATTTCTTTTCTGCGATCCATTAAAATTGTTATTCCTGATGATTGTCTTGCACTGCTGGAAGCTCTTGACAGATTGACTCTACGGTCTCGGGCTAATGGCGTGAATCTCAGTGTGTCGAAGTGCAAAATGATGGAATTTCGTAAACTCACAGTTTTCGATAAGTCTATTTATCATATTAATAGTAATCTACTGGACTAAGTGGATCAGTTGGGGGATCTAGGTGTACTATTAAGCTCTAATTTTGATTATGCACTACGAATGCTTTGATTTCTGGAACGTTACGCAAAAGGTTTTGCCAGTGTCAGCTCCATCAAACCTCTATATTTTCCATATGCTTGCATACATCTTGAGTATGTTACTTCAGCATGAGTTCAGATTGCGTCTGTCATATCCAACACCTGGAAAATATACAGCGTAACTGTGACAGATTTATGAACTACATTTTTTTCTACTATCGACTCTTTCCTGCAAAAGAAAACAGAGATCTCAAACTTATCCACCGAATCAACTGATTGTCCATACCTGACTTCTAAAATAGCTTTACATATTTCATCCCGTAATTCAAACACCGCACTAACTTTTCATCAGCAATATCAGAATGATCTAGGTCAGATGTATTTGTTTGGAGTCTTTCATCAGTCACCATTTCTCCGTCTTTATAATTATTTTAATTATTTAGTTTCAGCTTGTTGTTTTTCTTAAGCGCTTAATTGTAATTTTCATATGGGCTTGGCCCATGAATAAATAAATATAATTTCTATTTGGTTATCAATTTTTTATCTGGAATACCACATAATTCAATAGAATAATGTTGCACGGTCTTACAATACGTTTACTGAAACTTGGATCAGTCAACTAGTCTTTACATTTAAGACTCCCTTTGTTTGGTTAGTTCTAGTTACATCTCTCTTTTCTACATTTTCTACACCTATAGCCTGCGCTTGATAATGATCGCTTTCTTCATGCGACGAAAATCAATCGTTTCAATTTTTTTACAGAAAAGCTAAGCCCTGAGGTATCCTCCTTGCACGGTGTAATAAATCGGGATTCGGTTTGTGCCGCTCCGGAGCCCTTTCATCTGCAGCCTGACTCGCGGTCTTTTTTAAAATACCGAGGAGTAAAAAAATATATAACCATATACGCTGAAAGAAATATTGTGTGCGATCAGTGAGATACGGTTCGTAGATAATTGATTTTGACCGGTATCGGACGAACCGTTAGGTTTCGGCTTGGCAAAATGAAGACGTACAACTTGCGCTCAATCGGGCGAAAATTGATTGATGATCGGGCCCCGGTTTACCGAGAAAACGACTTAATTTAGGTTTTAAATACCCGCCATTAACGTTTTCGAGTATTTAAATTGCCCCTCTTTTACTCTTAATGGTTATCTGATCGCTACACGGCGTTCATTAAGTACTTGCCCCAAAGTTTATGTGAACGTGATTCGGATTCTACTGTTGGTGTACATAAAAAAAAAAGATGCTGAGTACGTCGATGATGAATGAGAAGCTCAAATATCCATTGCGTACAACAGTTACTTGAACTAAACTAATAAGCGCAAAATCATAGATTTGGTACCAAAAATAAATATGCCAGGTTGTTAACTTTGACATTTGACGGCTAATCCGGGTGAATCTGTAAAAGGAGCTTGGAAATATCTAGGAAACCTCTTTTCACATTATATGTGGTTCAACAACCATACAAGTTTTTTGCGACGCACTGGGTATTGTTGAACGAAAACTTTATATGTATATATACATTGTCTTAACTCTTGTCAGCTGCCACGGGCCCAACTAACCAAAACTAACGGACCACATTAGTTAGTCTATTAACAGCACCCTATTAACAACGAAGTGATCAAACTTAAAAATTCTCTTATCGCCAATAATAACGAGTAAGATAAAGAAACGGAAGAGCACATACTGTGCAGAATTGACTTCTCACTAGGATAGTCATCTTTTTACGATAACTGAGTCTGATGTGGGAATGGAATATCGGCCCCACACTATCTTAAATCCTAAATAATATCCTATACCTATACTATTTCTAAAACTACCGAGGTTTGGTTTGGTATAGTTTTCGTAATTTTTTAGATTGTTATTTTAATAAGGTATTTGTAACGTAGAAAAATATTACTAACCATTGCTGATCGCATTCTTATATGCGAATTCTATTATTCCAGCACTATAAGGGTTGATATATTAAATTTACCACTCGGAAAAAAAATCAAATAACGCACGACGATAATTTTCTATAGAGTTACGTGGCATTGTCATCATCGACCTTCCCAAATTGAATTCTTTCCTTGTCGTCATATTGTTAGCCTAATTAATTTGGTTAGATGTATGAGCACCATTCCAATGAGTTGGGGTCGTCTATATATTATTAAATTACGAGAGTTGGATGTTCAAATGAATGAACCTTTAATAGATTTCTTTTTTCATTTTAGGTACATACTTCTTTAATCCAAGGCAGACCGGGAGCAAACGACACTACCCCGGAACTCTTAGAATTTACCAAAGCCCGATACGTAAGGTTTCGGCTGATGGGTTTGAGGGGCACACAGGACCCCTTGCCCAAATGGCTCAGTCAGGACATCTGGAGAAGCAAAAAACTGTTTTATTCCATAAGGGATATTACGATCGGTGGGCAATGCGTTTGCAATGGACACGCCGAGAATTGTCGCCATAATGTCGCTTCCGGGGTAAGCCTGAAAGTTCCTCTTCTTTTTGTTCCTGTATACAGCACCCTTACTATTATGGTTATATTGCTAATGAAAATAGCAAATATCAATATTTGAAAATGAATTGCTATCCGTATTGTTATACTCCCGACAAAAATATCCTGTTCTCATAACCCCGTAAAAGATTTGTCAAAAGGAATGCACTGACATAAAACTATATACTCTAAAGTGGTTGGAACCTGGAGTGCTTCCAGGCTAAACCTAACCTAACCTAACCTAACCTAACCTAACAAAAATTATCCTTTTGGACAGATATTACTTTATTAAAGTAAAATAACAGATTACAGCAGGGCATATATTAACAAACTCACAAATTAAACAAATATATGTATTAATAATGAACGTCTGGAATTGTTGTATTCATTTCAATGTAATTTATTTGCATTATGGTTTTGTATGTACGTATATGGAATATGCAGCCCATAATAACCAACTTGTTTTCTTTTCCAAAATGTAGATATCCTATCCGCACAATGACAATATTAAAAAATTAAATTCCAGAAATCACTAAATCACAAAAATGGAAAAAATTGAATACATTTTCTTGAAATGTGAGAATACTGACAATTTCAAAACATCAAATACCAGAAGTTATTAGTCACAAGACAAGAAAGGAATTCAATATCAAAACACCAAATTTATTAAGTCCATAAGCAAGCAAAAAATCGAATACATGGTTCTGTACTATTATTATTGGCGGATAGCCATTAAAAGACATAGACGTCCTTAATACATAACGACCATATCAAAATCCTAATTTCTAGGAACCATCATATCATATGCAAATAATGGAATACTTTTTTTTGTTATGTCACATAATTCCTCAGAATTGCTGGTGAATGGACACTCCCAAAATAATAGTAATAATAATAAAAACATACATTTTTCAAAAAATTTCACATTTCACAAAAAAGGAATACAACATCAAAACTGCAAATTCCAGAAGTCACTAAATCATAATAAAAATATAATACATTGTTCTGTATTGTTATTTATGCTAGTGAATGAAGATTTACTACCAAAATAACAATAATAAAATCAGAGAATTTTTTTAGAAGATATAGACGACCTAATATATAGTGAAAATATCAAAACGTCAAATTCCAGAAATCAGTAAGTCACAATCAAAAAAAGGAATTCAATAATGGCTCAGAATTTCTAGGGAATAAACACTAACTACCAAAACACTCGAAAGTCTTATTAGATCTTCTCAAATTGATTTCTGCTTTTTAAGTTTCATCATATTTAGACTTCGAAATTAGATTTCAACAGTCCAGATTTCCTTGCGCCATAAAGTTATTGGTTAACAAATCGCCGCCGCCGGCGGCGGCGGCGTACTATATGGCGCGAGCTTTTCTGTCTCCACGTTCGCCCAACTAAACTGGACTGATAGGATTCCCACACACGATAACTATCAAATAATACCAAATATGTATCGCAAGCACACTTCTGGGAAAGGTCTTGTCTATAGAGGGGCACCGCCATTTCCACACTCTGTATATGGCCCGTCTGCTGCGACAATCCTCGGAGTACTATTATTATGTTTCGCTTATGTTATTACTGTGCGCCGCGCTATTAGTTTCTACGTTGCCACCTCCGCAGTTAAAGATACGAATGTAGATAAGGGCATGGAATTTGGTATTCGGTCGGTGGCAATGAACAATTTGCTCCACGCATTTTGGTGCGGCAAGCCATTGTTGCCAGATTGAGTATGGTCGTGTGGTCGTGCTCTAGGTTATTTTAGAAAAGCATAAGGCAATAAAATAATAACTTCTTGTCCCCATTATCTTACCTGTTATATGGTCCCTCGTCATACATTTATAATGAAGTAAAAGACAAGGATTGGCATTTTGATGACAGCGTAATGAAAACATACTTACAGTAGCACTTTTAAACGAGAGCTGCCTTTTATATTTCGGGATTTTCTTAAACTAGTATTGCCATCTGGCGACTAACGTTTCTATAGGGAAGTTTGACATTTTGAAGTTAGGTTTACTCAGGTAGGTTTTGGCGAAAGAGTGTTGGTTGTGTTTTTTGTGATCAATTAGAAAAAAATGTGACGGTTAAAAATGGAACTTAATCGGGAGCATTTTCGTGCAATATTTTTTTACAACTCACCATCTAGGACTACTGTTTATCGCTGAATTTCGTGAAGCTCGTCCAAAATCGGTGGTTTTCCAAGAAAACAGTGATGTAGTGCGGAAACTGATTTTGCAGGATCCTTATGTGACTTACCCTGAGGTACCTCCACACCTACACCTCATGGTGGCATTAGTGTGACTAGCATACATACAATTTTGCATGAACATTTGGCCGCTAAAAAATTTTGTTCGCGTTGGATTCCACACAGTTTGACATCAGCTCAAAAAAAGGCTCTTGTTGATTGGTCGAAGGAAATGCTAAAAAAATACGATCGCGGTGCTTCCCAACACGTCTATGATATCGTGACAGGTGATGAATCATGGATCTATGCATATGAACCTGAAAGTAAGTAGCAGTGAACTAGGTGGGTCTTTCACAATGAGACAAACCCCACATAAGTTGTTCCTGCACGAAGCACCTCGAAATAAATGGTAGCCTGTTTTTTCAGGAAAACTGACCACGTTGCAGCTGTTTCTTTGGTGAAAGGTAAAGCAGTCAATTCTGATTGGTACATATCCATTTGTTTGCCGAAAGTCTGCGAAGAAATTAGAAAAAAAGATCTTTTTGAGAATTAAAAACGTTGATTTGATGAGCCATCCACCATATAGCCCTGATTTAACGAGCGATAACTTCTTTTTATTCCCATACATTAAGAATAAATTATGTGGGCAACGATTTTTGATACCAGAAGAAGAGATTGATGCATTTAAAAAATATGTTTTGGATGTGCCCGAATCGATGTGGGAAAAGTGCTTTGACGATTGGTTTTATCGAATGCAAATAGTATACTATGCAACAAATGCGGTAAACGGCATCTGACGCATGAGTTTATTTCACGAACGAAGCGAGTATTTAATAAACGAGTGACTTAAAATGTTTACCGAACGTGATGCATACAATACTTTTTCTACGACCGTTAGTTTTCGGGTACATTTTCGCAAAACCACACGAATACATTCACTGACATGGTCGTCAGAATTAATAATCGTCAAAATTCAAGGCGCGGCAAATATCTCCGAAAACATCCGGTTGCTCCCAAAGCCGTGCGGTAAAATCGCGGAAATGTCCGAAGTAGCTCGGATTCGTGGGAAACGAAACTGACGTGGTAAAATGACGCTTCCCGCACGCTAGATGGGTGTGTAATTAGGTATTTTATAGACGGGAGTAGAAAAAGTATATTGATCATCAGGGTGAATATTTTTGGAAACAATAAAGTGATATTTGTTGGTAGCCCTCGTAAGTATATCTGTTTAGTATCTGCTGCTAGATCGTGGTGTTCACAGAGTTATAAGATTAGTAGTAAACTGTTTTTTGCTTTTAAATTAATAATGATTGCTGAAGAACAAATTCCATGCAAGAGAAGTGAAGCAAAAATGTAAGTATTTTTTTCGAAAGGAACTTCTACAGGCTACTGTAATACTATTTCCAAATCTTCTGTATTCCTCCTTATTGATGAATCGAACTTGCTGACGTTGTTGGCTTCTTCAGAGCTTAACTGAAACTGGTTCGCATTCTACGGTATACCTGCTTATATATTGTTTGAGAGCGCGGAGCTAAATGAAGGCTGTGAACATTGTCTGGGATGACTGATTCCCATATCGGAGAAAGGTAGACCGGAGTCGCGGTTCAGCTTGTTTGGTTGCTTATATATTTCTAATTATTCTCGGATTTTTCGTTGGTAGAAGAATTGATTACATGCAAGAATTTTAGTTTTATCGAATAAAATTTTATGTCCGCTTTTATGATTGTCTTCACCAACTGCTGATGAGTGCATTTGTCGTAGTCTTTAGCCTAGTTGACTTTTTTCTTCCGGTCTCTCCAATGTATGCATATGCATGGAAGGCTGTAAAATCCTACTATCTCAAACGGAGTTATGAATTGGACGGATGGAAAAAGTTGAAAGATTTTTGGACAAGTGGTAAATCTGGTTTTGACGTTATATTTCTTAAAAACTTGTAATATGTGGTCAGTGATGTTTTGGTTGTAAGGAAAGATATCAGTGGCAAGTGTGGTGTTGCCTTCAGGCTCACTGTCTTTGGAAGATTGTGGTGAAGTGTATCTTGTGATGGAACTCTTAATATCTCTAATGTGGATATTGTTAGAGAGAAGTGCACATGTAAAAAACTAACTAAAACTGACCAAACAATCGCAACCGCGACTACCTTTCACCGATATAGCAATCAGTCATCCGAGACAACGTTTATGCCCCTGATTTAGTTTCGTCCCCCTCAATCAGTATATAATCAGTTCTAGAAGATGGCGAAACGTGAGCAAGTTCGATTCACCAACAACCGACAAAGTAATTAATGAAGACACCAAAAATGTAATTCGAAGAAAAATTTCCTCTTTTTTTTAAAAGAAATGCGCACACTAGGCAAATTTTAATTGACCTTGATCGGTATTCCATTGATAAGTAGAAAACGTTTATTTCTTTGAAAAACATGAAGTTTTTCCTGCGAAAGGCATAACCGTAAAGGACTTTTATATAGACCCCTTCAAAAATGTGGCAAGGCAAAAATGTGACCAGTGTTCGTCAAGCTTTTATAGAAGGCCTTAGTTCTCAAAATGATCCCATGTGTTCACAATAAGTAAGCGGGCTTCCACGAAAACTGTAACTGTAACCTGCATGTTCCGTATTCCGAAATTTAGCTCTAGCTGGGTCCACCGCAACCAGCTAAATTTGAAATTTTGATTTGAAAAAAAAGTCTGGGAACTTTGATATAAAACCTGTGAGGGGGGTTTAAGATGATTTCATGAAAAGTAAAGAGATTAATAATCGTCCATATCGGAAGCAAAGAGGAGTTTTTTTGATTTTTATG